CTGACGGATTAGATCCCGTGTCACCCAGGTTTACAGTCACAGACGTTACCACTGAGCTATTCGGGCCACGACCGACCTCTTGTAGGACTGAGATGTAATCACAATTGGTTGATCACTGGGTAGTGATCAATGTCATGCATGTCAAGTCCTTTTTAGTGCTAATCACCATCTTATCTCAACATAGTGCACGCAGTGTCGAGCCATTTAAACTAGTGGCCACATTACAACTTGATCAATAGCATTCGATCAGCACTAAGACGGAATTGACAAGCATGACATTGATCATCACCCAGTGATCAATCAATTGTAAAATGATTATTTATTCATTCTGAAAAATAAACACTGAATTTCTATAGAACATCATTAAAAAAACGGTATCCAATTTAATAAGAAGACATAAGACTAAGAAATGGAAATAACATCCCTTTTACGTCAGATCAGATACACTCCCAAACTACATCAACCAATGTAAGTAATGTGGTTGTTAGGAAACGGGTACTAAGTAAGGATGGCAAATCGATTGATGAAGTAGTGAAACTTCATCAGTTCAGATGGCTGGGACATGTGTTACGTATGCCCAACCACCGACTGCCCCTGACGTGCAATGCTTTATAGTGTAGGAGGAGGTTGGAAGAAAGCTAGGGGCGGCCAGACCAAAACATGGCATAAATCCATGAAGTCACTGACAAGTGGACTGAGCCATGTTGGTAGGTGTAGACTACCTGGTTGGGATTCGCGAGATGATAGCAACCGATGGTTAGAGACCTTGAATGACATGGCTCAATATCGTTTGCAATGGCAAAGGTGTATCCACTCTTTGTGTTCTCCCAAATTCTAATCTTCTGAATTATTTGTGTCCTTTTCCTTTTACTCTTTCCAAATTTATTTCACTGTACTATACTCCTTCAATAACATCTTCAAACCCTAATCTTTCCCATTACTGCTTATACTCTTACTACTTCTACCACTATGGGATTTGAATCGACAACTTCATCTCTGTGCTAATGTGGTATGGCAACTCGAACTGATGCACGTACGTACGAAGTTCTACGTTGTGACTGACTGACTGACATCAACCATTGTAACTGCAAATCTTGACTACTACTACTACTACTGATTCATAGTTTCATTTACATCAGAAATAGTCTATACAGATTATTCTATTAAATTATTACAATTTTTCAATATCTTATAACATGTCAATACGTGTTCAGCTATTTCTTTTGTTTGATAAATTTCATATTAATGTATTTTATATTAATAATAGATTAATAAATGATTTATAATTTCATATAAATTAAAATAGTATCATTAATGCTTAGAAAATATGGATTTGGACTTTTACAGATTAATATATTGGTAACTAATAATAATAATAATAATAATAATAATAATAATAATAATAATAATAATAATAATAATAAGTAGTAGTAGTAGTAGTAGTATATGAGCAGGAACATCAATATAAATAAACGCAAAATAGGAGTCAGTGGATTAATTCAATTTATTATGATATATTAGTTTAATATCGCTTTCATTTAATAAATAACTATTCAAATTACCCTATGTTAAATAAATTGTGAATAGTATATTTCATTTGAAAAAACAAAAGAAGGATTCAACTTTAGGTCAAAATAGTTGTATGATATATGGTAATGGTTAAGAAATTCTCAAGTGTTTTAATTGGTTAATTCTTATTTATTAAATAATCTATCGGGATCGTGGATGCGCACTGCTGAGGAGTCCCACAATGGGACGAAAACGACCGTCCAGTGCTTCCAGGTTTTCTACGGTGGTCTAGCTTCAGTTGACTCATGATTTCAAGTATATATAAATAATCTATGTAGCTAATTTTCGTCTTGACTAAAAGTCAATCGGGGAAGTGTTGAACCTGGAAAATACAGAATAACTATTACGTTCTAGTTTTAAAATTCCTCAGTAATATATATGAATAATAATTCTAGACTAGGTTAAACTCAGAATTTGTGCAATTTTGATGTCGGTAAGGTATGACTAAGTCATTCTGCTGAAGTATTATAGTTCATGTTTCCAAGTTCAGTCAACAAACTAACAATGTTTTCCTTGCACACTATATTATTAATAATAATGATAAGGCTATTAATAAATTGTACTATGAAACCATGTGGATTGATTAAAGTTAGACATTAGCACCATTGAAACTGGCTCAATGATCTAGAGGTTAATTGATTACGTAGAAGACTGAAAGTCTTGGGTTTGAATCCTTTGTGGGGAGTCGTGGATGTGTACTTCTATAGAGTCTCATGCTATGACGAAACGACCGTCCAGTTCTTCCAGGTTCTCAATAGTGGTCTAAGATTGATACGTTTATGATATCAATTAAATATGTAACTTGAGATCAAATTAATTGATACCATTGAAAATTCTTTATAACCCACTGAAATAAAATCTATCATAGAAAAATGATTCAACTTGTTACATACTTGAAAATAGTCAAAGGCGATTCTATTACTTTTTTCACAAACACCTAACAACAAAGCTCACTTATATCTTTACATAAGTTCTACATATTTCACTCAATCAAAGTCAAATTCTTTTATTTTTAATAGTTTGTCCTCAGATACATTATATAATTTATAACTCAAGTTTATCATTTTATTTTTCAAATAAAGTGTGATAACTTCAGAAAAGTACACATGCTGTCACTTTAGAAAAAAAGTACTTAAATATTATTCACCTTTGCTTTCTGGTTTGTTTGTTTTATTTTAAATAAAATATTTTTGAGAAACGAACACTCTATAAGTTATTGAAATGATTCAAATCAAAATCAGTAGATGTATTATATATCAGTAGATATAAAGTAAAGATGCTGAATTCATCATAGTAGTGCAGTTTTACTTTCTCTAGCTCTTTAGTCACATGGTCGAAGCACTTAGGGCTTCACCTTGTCGGTCTTCTTGGGCAGCAACACGGCTTGGATGTTAGGCAGGACACCACCCTGGGCGATGGTTACGCCACCATGGAGCTTGTTCAACTCTTCGTCATTGCGGATAGCCAGTTGTAAGTGGCGAGGGATATTGCGGGTCTTCTTATTGTCACGAGCGGCATTGCCAGCCAACTCAAAGACTTCGGCCGCCAGGTACTCGAGGACAGCTGCCAAATAGACAGGTGCACTAGCCCCGACACGTTCTGCGTAGTTCCCCTTGTGAATGAGACGATGGACACGACCAACCGGGAACTGCAGACAAGCACGGGCTGATCGCCTCCTGGCCTTAGCACGAGACTTTCCACCTTTCTCACGTCCACTCATTGTCTGTAAGAGCCGAGAAACGTGCACACGCAGTTTAATGAAACAGATTTTCGTCAGTAACAGCTAAAAACACAAATAATCAACAACAACAACGGATCCTTCATTTCTCATGTTATCAATTAAATATAGTTTAATTTTAAATACTACTGAAATATAAACAACAGTATTTATCTACTAAGATACTCATAATGATCTAAATCTTAAGAATTTAATAGGTTCAAGTAATTAAATCATATTTATATAACAACACTTAATAAGTGTAAATATAATATGCATAATATGCATACTAAAATATATATAGAATTATAAATCTATGTTTATTCATTACTTTGTCACTTAAAATTGTATAATGGAATTTTGTGAATAATCTTGTTTTTTTAAAATATTTTAAATGTTCTGCTCAAAAATACGATGGGCGGAAAAAACAAACAAACAAACAACGTTGAATTTACAGAAATGTAAATAATTTCTGTTACGATTACACATACCATTTGGATCTTAGTATTAATTGAAAGTAGAAAATATTTTAGTAAATGCATACACAGATGTATATTTATACATCTATGTATAATGATCATAATAAAATCTGGGTGCATAGAAAAAAATGTTAAACAGATTATATGAGTGTATGTTTAGCCTAGATGTTAGACAGGTTGTGTTTCATGCTTGATTAATGTGCACGTTTATTAGATGAATGAATGAATGAATGAATGAATGAATAACTCTATATGAATTCATATTAACTTATAAGAAAAATCAGTTGGGCGACCTATGCTGTATTGATGATTGACAGTTGAATTAGATTTTTTTTTCGTTGTTGTTGTTGTTGTTGTACAAATATTACTGTATATTTTAATTACAATTTTACAACCAATAATAATGAAGTATATAGATAGAGAGTTATATATTTTTCTAACCATTTAAATCTAATTTTGAACCAATAAAAATTAAGATAAGCGTCGGTGTGGCTTATAAAATCAAACTTCTTTTAATAATATATGCGCTTTCAATAAGTTTTTATTGTACATTTCTAAACGCAATCTAACCAGGTAAGAAAATTTCAATGATCACATCTTCAAGCATGAAATAAAGTATACATATACATAAATAGATAGATATGTATGTGTATATGAGACCCCTTTCTTTAGTTGTTGTATATTTTTTCTCTGCAATGAACAATCCAATGATTGACGGATAGGTGTTTTTATTAAATCGCTTCATTCAGTTAGTATAGAAAATAACGAACGGAAATAGATGGGGATAATCATAACAACAACAACAACAAAAAAAAACTAGCAAATAATCACAATAACGATAATAACAACAACAACAAATAATATAAGAAATTTTACGAAATGTCTAGGGTTTTTTTCTTTCTTTCTTAAGCATTGTTAAAAATAAATTTATATCGAAATGAACTATTTCTGGACAGTACTATATAATCTTTCCAATTGACCGGATTTTATATGTATATCCCCACCTACGAAATTGTAATTTCTTTATTACATTCAATGTGCTAATGTATATGTAATGCTCTCGTATAACTATTCAATGGGAATATATAAAATTTACAGAAAGAAAACATTATCTACTCATTTATGATATCATTCATTCTGTATATATAATATACACCATTTTATTGATGATAATTTGTGTTTGGAAAGTAATCATTTATTAATTATCATTATAGTTATCAATATCCATCTTAGTTATGCCACGAAGAAGATGTTCTTCACCAATTAATACTACCGCTAATAATGTTATTACCAATAATCACAATAATAATAATAATCATGGTAGAATAATAAATACATCGTCAAGTCATCATCATCACCATCATTCAACACATAATAATTTAAGATTTCGTGGAGGAAGAACAAGTAATGGAATTTCGCCTAATCGTAATCGACTTCTAGATACAGCACAAGAAACACAAGATTGTCATGTATCGTCTACAACTACTAATCTAATGCAAGAAATTCAGAGGTAAGTAATATGACATATTCATTTGTTCGTACTGGATTAGTTGTAATTGAATGCATACAGAAGTATATAATATATATATATATATATATATATATATATATATATATTTATATATATATATGGTCCACCATTTGACATTAATAATGAAAAGTACTACTTGCGTGGAATAGGCACCAAATGGAAGAAAATTTCTGAAACACTTAGAGATTCCTTTCAATGCTAATTTTGATTATCTAAAATTAATTTTTATCGTAAACTATTCACCGAATGAAAAACTACTGAAAACCAAATAGTATAAAATAATAAAATTCTTGTTCTAATTTCTGAATCATCATCAACTAGTAAAATATATATGACATACTAAATCAGAATGCATAAGTTCAGATTTTCAAATGAAGTCAAATCATATCAGCGGAGACAACTGAATGTATTTGAATATAAAATTATAGAATCTTGTAGTAAAATCTGAGAATCATACAGTAAATAATTCATTCACAAAATGTCAATCAATTGTCTTAGACTTGACTGTTCCTTTGTTTCCACACCAATGATTATCTGTTCTCATTCTCTTTTCTTCGATCTTGTTAACCTTCTGCCGCCAGACATTTCACTTTCATTTGATAATACATACTACTTATATCTATCAACATCAGTAGCACAAACCACAACAGTATATAATGATTGTCATTCCAATTAGAAAAGGAAAGAAACAGTATACGAAAATTCAATTATGTTAACATTTGATATGGTTCTGGATCTACTCAGAAGATTTATTTATTAATTATCAACATTGTAATGATAAAATTAAACATTGGTCTAATTCAAATAAACCACTATTGCACTGAATGTATAAGGAAACAGTATTTAAACACCTCAAAACAAATACTGACTTCATCCTAACAACTATTTGATCTTTAATATTTCTGAATTAAACAGAATTTTGTTTTACTAATACACATTAAGATATAAAACTATGAAACCATTCAGATGAACTACTAAGAGGGTTTTTGCGGAGATTTTAGTAATTTTATGGTTGAAATCATGAGGCAGATAAAGCTAGACCACCATAGAAAATCTGGAATCACTGCACGGCCGTTTCGTCCTATTATGGGACCCCTCAGCAGTGCACATCCACAATCCCGTCTCACGAGATTTGAACCCAGGACCCATCAGTATCTTGCACGAAATCTTAACCTCTAGAACACTGACCCGGCATCCAACGGTGTTAATGTCTAACTTCAACTAATCCTCGAAATTGAGTAACTGTCCGCTATTGACTTCAGTGAGCTACTATCTCACAACAGAATTACTAGGGAATACTATATTAATTTAAATAGAAACATATATATATATATATAATTTTAATAGATTTCTTTACAAGTTTTCTCAATAAAATACTAAATTGTAATAAGTTTCATTTATGAACTAAAAATTGTAGATTACTGATTGTAACATTATTTTGAAGTTAAATACCAGCTCACTGTAATTCATAAATTTATTCTCATCTAGAAGTATGGAAATGTTAACTTAAGCATGTTAGAGACAATCTAAAATTTACCATTGTTCAAATAATATCCGAATGTTAAATGATACGACTATGTTTACCTCTGTGAAAAGTATAATATTGAATACAATACAATACTTTGACTTTTCATCCTTCATTTCAAAAAAATCCTCAGTTCACTTTGTCTGTTTTATTACATGGGGACATGGAATTAAGATAGACGGATTGATTACTTCTCAGTCAGTACAGAATGATAGCCACTGTGTAGATACCAGTCTCATCCGATTACTAGAACTCGTCTTATTAAAAATGTCAAGAAAGTTTGTTATTGGGAACAAACATTGTCATTATTTTCTTGTGAATGACAAAAATATAATTATAAAATATTGATTTAGCGTTACTTTTTCCACATACTAAGAATACTGTAGACTCATATCAATTGAATATGGCTATTCTTTGTTCTGAATAAACTGATGAATATTCATCACCATTAGTTGCTTATCTTTTCCCCATTTGTTACAGATATGAAGTGAAATTCATGATTTCAACATTAAAATAATTCCTTCAAGTATTGCTTACCTTTTCAATTAATAGTACCACACCATAAGGTAATAGGGTTAAACTTCACTCTGCCTACTTGATTTTGCTAAAACAGGTAGTATCATTGACCTGTAAAGTTAAAGTATAATTCAAAGTCAAATATACAGATCTGTACGTGGCAAATAAGTTTTTTTATCAAACTACAAAATTATAAGCTTGGAATTTATAATGCTATTTAGTGAGATGTACAAATAATAATAGTGGATCTCATTTGTGTCTAAATAAAAATCTACTTGTTAGATAAATTATCTCAGTTGTCACCAAAATATAAAGATAAGTTGCTGTGAGATATGTTATAAGAATTCTTTGAAAATAATAGACGTACTATTAAGACCATTTATTTGTTGTGATACTTATCCACGTTTATGTGCTATAAGGAAGAAACGATTCTGACGAATATACAAACAGTTATATGTTAATCAATAATACTTTACGTGAATCAACAAATCATATTCTCTTGAAAATCATAAAATTGGTTTGAAGGCTATTAGAAAATGGGACCATGTAATTAATACATATTTAACTTAGATTGTAAGCACCTGATACATATGCACCACACAAATCTCATTTGACTTGTGTGAGGGCTGTGATACTGCCCAGGTGCCCAAACGGAAGCAGGTGGTTTTCTTAGGGGGCCACACCCTGAGCCTTTGACCTACAAATCTGATCGTGAGGAGATGCAGTCCCATGGTAGTCGGTGACAAACAACTCGTTCATACGCCATTTGTTTCTTTATGATACTGGAGCCCATGTGCACCATTGTTTCGGAATAAGGGTTTTCCAACTCCCCTAGGTGAACTTTCAGTGTCCACCAACCCGGTTAAAGCGCCAGACATTTGCTTTTTGTCCTCTCAAATTCGTAAACAACACCCCGCCATGAGAAAGCAGTGAGTAGGACTTCCCTGACAGAGGCTATATATCCGCGTGGCCATATAAGAGCATTTGGAGAGGGAGAGCGGACTCTCTCCACTCTCGGCCGTACCATGGCATTGAATACAAACGATACTTCCTCCCATGAATCACAAATAGATGTTTACAATATGGTATATTGATTAAAGGACCACATATATATTTAAAAATCGTATATGTAAATATATCAAGAATAAAGTTTGTTCTTAAATAACCACAGTAAAACTAATGATTAGTACAATATTACGAATTCACTAAGATGAAAGATTGGTATGAATGGTTATAAGTGAAGTAGATTACATCTGGTAAGGCAAAACAGATTTTATGTTTCTTCTTCTTCTTGTTATTATTATTATAACTGGCCGATTAGACATTATTGTAGAGAACGCTAATCAATCATATCTCACTTATCGCTTCTGTAGAAAGGACAGTCATCAAATTGTACGTGTTTAAGTCACTTTTTGTAAATAAACAATAACATTGATTAGGCCACATTTGATGAGTTTCAGAATTATACCTTATGAATCTGTATGTATATTTTTGATTGATTTTACTAGAATTCATAGTGGTGATATTAGTCAAAGTACAAGTAGATAATTATTATAAAGAGGAAGTTTTCCAAAAAGTATAAATCTCGTTACATTTTCCATATATATTTAACATATTCGCAAAATTGAAGCATTGAAGTATAGTCTAATTTGAAAATTTCAGAATACTAGATGTGTGAGTACTATTTTATATATACAGTATAGTATTGTTGTGGTTACGACATGTGAATTATCACTGTCCACTTCGTTAGTTCCCAAAATTTAGCGTTAAACTCACCTTTAACCTCAATAGTAGTAGTAGTAACTTGTACTTAACAGGTCACTGGACAACCAGTCAATGTAATTTACATCTATCTAGTCTCAGTTCTGTTCTTAATTGGTATAATAATAACAGATGTTCTATTTGAAAACAATGATTTATTTTAATTTGCCACAGAATGCGCTGATCAAGTATGTTATCATTTCACTATCCACCTTTAGTATTACGAGACGATTACTTCTAAACGATATTAACCGCTGGAAATTCACTTAGTACATTATAACTAATGTTATGATTAATAAAGCATATACATGTAAATCTGTTATTAAGCTTCTATAAGTGAAAAATGTGTTGTTTTTAAATCATTGTTTTGTTAAAGGACTTGAAAATAGTTTTCGAATTATATGAGTCGCAATACTTAAGTTCATAAGGAATGTAATGGAAATCTGCTAATATATAGGCTCTATTACTTCTATCATTGTTAGATATTCAGGTTTACATTATGTTACATTACAAAAACAGACAATTTATCAAAAGATTCAAAGTGAAATACTAATTAGGTAAGTACTTCAGAACAGCTGATTTCGAATTAAACGGTCTCTTAAATAAAGGAATGCAAACAGATTATGCCATAATATAAATTTTATTACACTGTAGCATTGTTTCCGTATTGCTAAGTACATTTCTAAGTATATTTTGTAATCTGAAACGAGAATGTTAATCAAAAGACCATGAAACCTACATGGATAGCCTTATGAAGTGTTAATAACATCCTGGAGTATAAAAAGAATGCTCGGAAATGATTATGAACACGAAAAGGAAGATTACATTTCTGTAGGGTAATACCAAAGTTTTTATTATCGAAGAATGTTTGACTCATATGCAATTCATTGATATACATTCATTGATAAAAAATTTATGGGATACACACGTAATAACTAGTGACATAATCTGTAATTTCATAACGTTAATTAGTTTTGGTAAGCAGAGATGGATAGTGGCTAGCAGTGGAATCCAGGACGCACGTTTCGTCCTATTTGGGACTCGAACCCAGTACCATCTATGCTTAACATGCTTGTTAATTAAGGCTATATTGAGGCAATACGCACATTATGCACATATGCCAGTTAGAGACTGACCATGACAATGATTATCCAAACTTTTATTATATCTCAGATTG